AGAGATGACTCGGATAAGGTAAAGTCTTTTGAGTATTTACGTTTTCCCTAAAATATTTACTTGGTTGTATCTCTATCTCTGGAAGATATCATTAGTGGCCTCTTACAATTATAGACTTCATTGTGCATGTATTAAAGGATTGAATCAACATGGCCTTGCTGCTCTTGCTCTCTCAGTTTAGCCAATTTTGGTGTAAATTTTGCAGTTCATAATGGTCAACCAGTTTTTTAAATCCAAAATACATGCTCTTTACTTAGTATTTGCAGGGGTCTGGAACTGTGATATTAGATTATCATTTTCATTTTTGGTATTATAAAAAATTTAAGATGTATCTTGAATCCAGAAACAATAGTATTTGAACATTTTGCATTTACTAGTTGGAATTAGATGTCACTGCATTTAGCTAGTTGTGTTCCTAATTCCTGTATTCTTGTAAGATGAAACCAACATTTTAAAATTGTTACAGGTTTTAGTTCACGGTCAACCTGGGGAGGAAGTTAAGTTGGAGTTGACCCTACGAGTCGTAGCTGACGTTGGTTTGGTAGTAAGTATTGCATCTATGCATAATGTCCTGTTTAATTCTTTATCGGTTTTTTACTCTTTATCTTCATAATAACTTTGTGTGAGATATTGATGGATGGATTTTGTGTCTTAACTCTTTATCGAAGATGATACTTTTAGATTTTTGAGAAACAAAAATATTGGTTTTACCCTGGCTTTAATATGGTGAACAAAAGTTGCCTAGTACTGTTTGTTCAGGTGAATTTCTTGGCTGTAGAGTAACTTAAAATATGTTCATTCGGCTGCTCAGGACCAAGTTAATCTTGTTGTAGGGACTTCCAAATGCTGGGAAATCAACACTTCTGGGAGCTATTACCCTTGCAAAACCCGATATTGCTGATTATCCTTTTACAACATTAATGCCAAATCTCGGGCGCCTTGATGGTGATCCCAACTTGGGAGCAGGAATGTATTCATCTGAAGCCACATTGGCAGATTTGCCTGGTCTTATTGAAGGTGCTCACTTGGGAAAGGTATCAATAAATTCATTAATGTCGTTAAATGTCCCTCCTTTAAACCATTGAGCTGCTAAGTAGTTAAAATGAAATCGTTTTTATCTTTCAGGGTCTTGGTCGCAATTTTTTGAGACACCTAAGAAGAACTCGTCTATTGGTCCATGTTGTTGATGCATCTACCGAAAACCCTGTAAATGACTACAGAACTGTCAGAGAAGTATGTACATTGCATTTTAATAATCACAACTCTACTGTTTATTGTTTATCCTTTCCTCATGCAAATAAGTCTAGTCAGTTTAACGTGCATAAAGTAATCTTTTGCCAGTCCAACTTTTCTTATTGGAATGTGTATCGCTCCCTCATGTTTTGCTGTCTTTAATCTTGCTCATTCTCTTTCAATTCTATTATGTTTTGCAGGAGTTGCGCATGTATAATCCTGAGTACCTTGAACGACCATACATTGTTGTTTTGAATAAGATTGACCTTCCAGAGGTATGTAGTTAATTTCTAGTCACCTCTATGTGAGTTGGAGTGTATCTTTAATTTCTTATTATCTTGTAAAAGGGAGGCTCAGTGCATATGAAATTCCTATCACTGTGAAGTCTAGTGAGGGTAATACGTTTTGACCTCCGCAAGGGAGATTCTGTATCTACATCTAGAACCCAGCACCACCTTTGGCACAGTCATATACTTTTTTACCATTGCACCAAAGCTCACACTTTCTTATTTTTATCTTGTGATATGAAAATTAAGTCATGCAACAAACATGTTTGTTAATTTTCATGTCAGGTTGAGGAAAAGCTTCCAATATTGACTCAAGAAATTCTAAGAATTGGCAGCGATGGTACAGCTTCTGAACAAAAACCAAGTTCTGAAATTCCTGCTCAATTATTGTCTAATGAAAGTGACACAAAGGAAAAAAAACTTGAGGACTATCCACGACCTCACTCTGTTATTGGAGTTAGTGTTCTGTAAGTTCTTGATGTTTTGTTTCATATTGTTTTTTTTCTCAAGTGTTTTCCTTCATAATGTTTCAGACACTCGCCAAATGTTTAAACCTTTTGTATCATACTTTTCATAGTACCCCATCGGCTAAGGTCAAAATTTCATGTTGTCTTATTGCAGAAAGCGTATCAGGATTAAGGAGATGTTAAAGGAGATAAGGGCTGCTTTAAGGCATTGCAGTGATTCCAATGGAGCATTAGCTTCGTTTGTCGCGCGGTGAGATTCACGTCCTATGCTTTGTCAAACACTTACAGTTCAACGAGGCTTTCTGCCAAGACTACACATAAATCGGTTCTGGTGTTAATTTGGCTTTATCAGAGAACAAATATTAAGAAAATCACCAGTTGGTTATAGAGAAATTACTAACGCGATGTGAGGAGCCGGACACATTATGAGATGATAGTCCACGTTCCTGGACCTCATATATTGTTGCAAGCAAGATTGGCAATTTGACATGTAAATTGTACCAGTTGTGGTAAAACTTTAAGAGATGCTTGTATCATCCACTACTAGGTATATACTAAAGGAAATGTTGTACTCTATTTGTAATGCTAATATTATTGTTGTTGATATATTCTTGGGACAAAGGAAACATTGTACTCCGTTTGAATATTGAAACAAAATCGTGTTACAGCTTACCAACTCATGCCGTTGTAGAAGATTTGGAATTTAGTGAAACTTGAAAATTCGGTCATATCTCAAAGATAAAGTTGAAGTTATCAATGTATAACTTATCTTAAACTGGCAAACGAACAAAAGTTCAATGAGAAATAAAACACTCCCATAAACTTTGGAGAAATGATCAATATATTGGTTTTCTTTTCCCCTTGTTGATACCATTCACCTTAAAGAAATGTTACTTGAACACACAATACAATATCACCACCACTTATTTTTTAATCATTTATGTATTTGTTTTCTATTTCTCTCTTCTGACATTTATTCAATGTATAGTTTATAGTATTAGTTTTTGTGTCTAAATAGCATAATTCTTCACCTTATCCATTGTGTTTGACTTTATAAAGATAAGGCTAGTTTTTTATGCAATTTAAAGCTATTTTAAATTATGTACGACAGTATTGTGTCATGCACTCTTTCCTTACAAATGGGATAAGCCTTATTGTATACAAGTCTACCTATCACTTCAAATCCATGTATCTTATTTTTAAAAAGAGAACATATCGATGCGAGCATCCGAAAAATGCATAAATTTTATGTGGTTTGAAGTTATGCTTTCGAAAGTAATATACGGTTTAAAATCGATGCGTGCATCCAAAAAATGTGTAAATTTTTTGTGGTTTGAAAGTATGCTTTCGACAATAATACTGGTTTAAAATCCATGTGTGCATCCGAAAAATGCGTCAATTTTATGTGATTTATACGTTTTGAAAACATACTTTCAGAAACAATTTATGATTATTTAGAAATAAATGCATCAATTTTATAATTTTATGTGGTTTGAAAGTATGCTTTCTGACAACAATATGCGATTTGAGTTGAGTTTTTAATTTATTTATAGATAAATAGTTCACTTGGAAGGTGTTATGCACAATTCTTAAAGGATATATTCCTAACCGGGACTTAGAGAAACAAAAAGAAAAGGGAAAAGATAAATAGTACCAGTAGTGTAGAACAAAATAAGTACTTATCTAGTTGAGATTCTTAAATCTTGAACAATAAGAAAATAAAAAGGAACACACACTAGTGCAATGCATGATGGTTATTATCAATTTCGATAAACTCGTAAAATGTCGTAAGTGATGTCTGTTTCCAATGTACTTCACTAGTTTTTGTCTCTTTTACTAGCCACATTGATGACTGATTGTAATTCTCTTAGCACTTTGAAACACCTGGGTTTGTTTCCTTCCACGTACAAAGGCTTCTCATGTGAGTCTTATTTTTTTGAAACCCTTGCACGTACTTATCTTCAACCGTTTCCTTCAAATATCACTGTTGTAGTAAATGACCATTATCCAAATCCACATCACTAAAACAACAATAAATATATAATAAAAAACAATCCTTTTTTTTACTTTTACCTTTCCTTCTCACCATATTGTTTTTTTATATGCTATATCAAACTCAAGTAGATAATGAATTTCAATTAAACACCAACAGTTCAGAGAAATCCTAGTTCGAATTCTTAACTATAGACTTATCCTATGACTTAGACGAAATCGCCTTGTCTTATAAATTAAATTGTGTTTAACTCGACTTTACAAAAATGAGTTTGTGAGGTGAAGATTATACCTACTTATAAATATATGTTCACACTTAATCTCATATAATGTGAAATTCTTAACACCTCTCATGCTTATACCTGAACATTTGGAGTCTGTCCCAAGTGATCTGATAGTAATGACCTTATAACAAAAACCAATCTTAAATTGTTTTTCGATTAGACTGAACTCAACTTTACAAATATAACCTTGATTAGATTGTACTCAAATTTACAATATAGAAAACACTATTCTCATTTATAAACACACGTTCAGACATTATCACATCGAATATGAAACTCTTTACTATTATTAATGTTAGATACTTCAGTTTCAAGGTTAAGACAAGGTATATATATACCTACATTAATTTAATTCATGACTTTCATTTATTATTTCAAACAAAAAAAGAAAAAAGGGAAATCAAGTGAGAATTTTGTTCTTGAGAATTAAACTATGTAGAAAAACTCAAGCCAAGTGTGTACAAGATATATCAACAGTAAGGATCATAGTTGACACGGTTAGCCTTGTTCATGATGACAAGTAGCAGCACACACTCACTAAGGGCCACGTTTCATATACATGGATTTAGCACATTACTACACATGTTTTCACATATAAATACCATGCATTCTTCTACTTTTTTCCCTCAACAACATAAACCTGTTTTCATACCTAACACACTCAAACTCACATTTCAGTTCTCTGCTGAAACCTGAGTGTGTAACAGAAAAAACACAAGAAAAAAAGCAGACAAAAAATGATGAAATCAGGGTTGGGAAAGGAAGAGAAAAAACAGTTGAAAAAACCAGCACAGGCTAGTTCAAGAAAAGGGTGCATGCGAGGCAAAGGTGGACCTGAAAATGCAAGTTGCACTTACAAAGGTGTGAGGCAGAGAACTTGGGGCAAATGGGTGGCTGAAATCCGCGAACCTAACCGCGGCGCTCGTCTCTGGCTTGGTACTTTTGAAACTTCTCATGAAGCTGCTTTAGCTTACGATGCTGCTGCTCGTAAGCTTTATGGTTCTGAAGCAAAACTCAATCTTCCAGACCAATCTACTCCTTCTGCACCCTCCGTGACAATATCACAAACACCTGAAATGCAACACCAACAAATTCAAGTTCAACACAACCTCAACAACAGCAACAGCTTCAATATTTCAAATATCAATTCATGCAACAGCATCAACATGAGCAACATGAGCAACAGCATCAACATGAGCAACATGAACAACAACATGAGCAACAACATCAGCATCAACAACACTGTCTTTGTTGGTGATATTGGACCAATATACAACAGTGATAATTCTATTGTGTCATTTCCAATGGATGCTACAAACACAATGGAACACCAACAAGTTGATCAAAGCTACAACAATAATAATATTTCAAATGATTCATTTTTTGGAACAATGAATTATGAAAGTAGCATGCCAGTGATTGATGATGATTCAATCTGGAGAGAAGCTGCTATGTCTTTGGATGCTGCAATTTCAATGGATTATCCAATGATCAGTGATCCTGATGGATTATATAATTCAGCTTGGGATTCTCTACAAACACCATGGTGCATGTAAATCAAATCAAGCCAACAAAATAATAATATTATAATGTGTGTATATGTGTATATGCATGCTATACTATATATATACTATATATGTGTATATATATAGTATAGTTAGGTATATAAGGAGTGTAGTATAGTATGAGTAGCAAATATGTTATGATAATAACAATAAGTTGACTAAAAGATCATGACATGGTGATTTTGTTAACACTTTTGTCGTGAATCTTTCTAGTGTCAAATCTTGTAAATATTATATCATATTAAGAAAATGTTATATTAAAAAAATAGATGATTATGAATGAATAATAAATATAAGTTTGATTATATTATATGCATGTGAATAATTTGAAGATTTAATAATATTTATAACTTTTTATAAGATTTTATTTTGTATGTTATCCTATGCAATAACATAAAAGCTTTGAAATGCTCAATAAGATAAATTTTATATATGATTTAGATTTTGAACACCTTTATTAATTTTCAAATATAAATAATTTGATGTGAAGGAAAATATATGATTCAAATTCACTTTTATCTTCAAATTTACTTTTAATCTCATATTATAGTGTTTGATTTTGATTCTTTCAAATAAACAAAATAAGTTTCAATTCATCACATATTCAATCATCTGTAATATAAATTTCAACGTCAAAAATTTAGAAATATATGTATTCAAATATTTTTTAGTTTTTTTTTTTTTTTTACTTTTAAATATACTATTAATTGAGTTCATTGGATTTAGTTTAATTGTGTTCTTCTATGCACAATAAATTTTGGGTTGTTTTTGATGATTTAAATGAATAAATATTTTTTTGGGTTGTTTTTGATGATTTAAATGAATAAATATTTGTTTTTAATATAAAAAATGATTGTTTTTCTTCAAATTTAATATAAAAGATGAGCATTCAGCTTTATCTTTATTAAAACAAAGTAAATATAAGTGTGTAAAATTTAAATATTTGAAATGATACTTTTAAACTAAATATACCTCAAAGAAGAATGTGATACCTCTCATTATAAAAGATGCTTATCATAATTTAATATTTTTAATAATAATTTCATTATATTATAAATCTATTCTATATTTTGCAAGTAGATTAATGTCTTTATTATTGTGTTATACACTTTTAATATTGTTTTAAGATATTTCTTACTAGTGTTAATACATTTTATACTCTTGCCACTACATTATTAAAAAGTAATAGGTGTACAACATATTTATTACTTTTGTTAGTGATGTTAGTTTTATTTATGCACTTATTCAAGTAGATTTAATATCTTTTTATTCTTGTATTATACAGTCTTTATACTTTCTACACTTGTATAGTGATTCATCTGTTTAATAGTATAGTGTACACAATACATCTCAGCACATCTGTTACTCTTGCCACGCCACCATTAAATAGTAATAGCTGTCAACACCTATTTTTCAGATTCTCTGTTTAAAAAAGGTCCACTTTTCTGATCTGTCAACACCTATTCCTCAGATTCTCTGTTGTCTCTGATTAGACCTTTAATTTTTTATCTCTCAATATTTTTTTATCCTTCTTCTCAAGAAGAAAATAACTCTATTTAAAGGTTTGTCTATCTCTATATGAACATCTGAAGAGATCAGAGAGGTGACATTTAAAAAAAATCATAGAGGTGGTTTGTCTATCTCCATATGAACATCTGAAGAGATCAGAGAGATAACATTCTAAAAAAATCATAGAGGTGAATATCCGAAGAAATCAGAGAGGTTATGTGTCAATTTCAATTTGCATGGTAAGTTTTTTGAAATTGAAAATTCAAATTCCTTTCACATATTTTTGTTTTGAAAATTTATGAGTAACTTCTTCTTCATTTGTATATCAAAAATAATTTTGTATGATTTTTTTTAAGAAGAAAATAACTTTATTTAGAAGATTCTTTATATGCATATTCAAAAATCTGAAAAAATTGGAGAGATTTTATTTTAATTTCAATTTTTAAGTTGTATGGATAAATTATTTGAAAAATACATTTTTGTTTTTGAAATTTCTAGATTATTTTGAGATAATATACTGTGTAAAAAAGGTTTAGGAATGGAGTTATGCAAACTTGAGGACTACACATCTCAACTATGATTCATGACTTTTCAATTTTTGGTTTTTTGTTTTACTTTAAAATGTCTAAACAATTGATTTATTATTCCTTTTATTTATCGATTAAAATTTTTGAAATTTTTTTGTGATTTTATTTATTATATTTTCAAAAATAATTTTGTTTTGTAAATTTATTTCTAAAATATTTTGTTTAAAATGTTTCTATTAAAATGAAAATATTCTTATAATATTTTAAAATAACCGGTCTCCCAAATCATCTTGGATAAAATGTGCTATTGTTTATATAATTATAGATTTGTTTTACTTTTTTTTAGAAAGTTTTGATGATCATCAAGTTTGTCTCAAATAACAATTTTTCTTCTATTTTAAGTATAATTTAGATTTTTTGATAAAAATAAAGAAAATTTCTTTAATTAAGGAATATTTTTATTTAAGATTATATATATATATATATATATATATATATATATATATATATATATATATATATATATATATATATATGTATATATATATATATATATATATATATATATATATATATATGTGTGTATATATATGCATTAATTTAAAATTTTAATAATAAGTTCATTATATTATAAATTTATTGTATATTTTGTAAGTAGATTAATGTTTTTATCATTATATTATACACTTTTAATTTTAATTTTATTTTAAGGTAGTTTTTACCGTTGTCAATACTTTTGACATGACATTATTAAACAAGAATAGTAGTAATAGCTGTACATTGTACCTATTACTGTTGCCATCCATGTTAGTTTTATTTATGCACTTATTTAAGTAGATTTAAAAAAAAAATACTGATTTTTGTGTGGTTTGATTCTATTTTTATTTATTTATTTAGATTTTTCGTATTTTTTAAATCTCTTTTCTTCTTTGGTTTTTAGAATTCTTATTCAATAAGAATTAGTAAATAAATTGGAATTCTCCTTTGATTTGAATATAAAGAAAATGATACAAACAATACAGATAAGTGGTCCTATAAAATAATATATTATTTTGTCATATGATTATATGTCATTTTTCTATCAGACAAACTCGTGGTTATTCTGTTTAAAATTTATTTTATAATTCAATTGACAATAGGTATGTTTCTCCCAATTATATATACAAATATTAAAATTTTCAAATAATAGGAAATTTAACACACACTATCAAATTAGGGCTAATAAAAATGATTGGGATCTAAATGTATTAATCATACTTTTAATATAAATTCAACCCAACATATAAATAAATGATATTTATATCTCTATTTATTTGAATTTAATAAGAGTTCTAACTTTAAAAACATCAATAAACTTTTTATTAACAAATAAATATTTAATTATTTAAACATAATTTTTTCACTGTAAAATGGAATTCTCGTACACATGAGTTAATTTTTATTTATAGAATAAAAATAATGTGAGTAATAAATATAAAAATAATGTGAGTAATAAATAAAAATAATGTGAGTAATAAAAATAATGTGAGTAATAGGGAAAAAAAGAATGAAAATACAAAAAAAAGATTTGATTTGAATGTAATCAAATTAATAAGATTAAATAAAAATTAAATTACTTTTAATGTTAAAAGAATTAAATGACTGAAATAGTAACATCTCACTATTAAAATTGACCTGATATTAAATTTAATAATTTAACTATATGTAATTATTTTAAAAAAGTTAAATATTATATTAATTGTGATTTAATACAAAAAAAAGTATGCATAACCAAGTCAAACATATTTGTTTGAAATAATGTGCGAATATGTTGTCATATTTTTATTTCTTCATCAGAAGTGAATGACAAAATAATATATCCATATGTTATTATTTTTAATATTGTTTATAAAAATTGTGAATTTAATATATTTATGTAAAAATAAATGCACATAAAAATAATTTGAATATAAATTATTAAATTGGTCGTAAAAAAAGATAATTATTACAAGGTTAATTTAAAATATAAAAATATTTATTATCAAATGAAAGACCAAAAAAGATATATAACATTAATAATTTTAAAATATATGTATATATAGTATGATGTATTTATATTTATGTCTTGCTTTAACTAGGTACATAAAGAGTGAAAAATCAATTTATAATAATTATAATAATAATGTTTCTGTAAAAATTGACCAAAAACTTATAATGATTTTATTATCACTTTTGTCGTGAATCTTTGTCGTCAAATATAAATATTATACAATGACGGCTATGAACAATATGAAGCTCTATTAACATTATGTTATATCATATTATTTTATATGAATGTTAATAATTTTTAGATTATATGCTAACAAGTAAGTTTCAAATCATAACATATTCAATAATGGATAATTTAGCCACCAATATTAAAAAAAATTGAAAATAAGAGTATTAAAGTTTTTTAAAAATAATTTTAGTATTTTATTCTATTAATTTGACTACTTTTGTTGATTCAAAAGAATACTTTAGATGCATGTATATTTGGACAGAGACCAATATAGCTCAAAGATAATGAAACATAGTCAACATGAGCAACAATAGCATTAACAATAACATCAACAACACTATTTTCGTTGGTGACATTGGACTAATATACAAGAGTGATAATTCTATTGTGTTATTTTTAATAGATGCTACGAACACAATGGAACAACAGTTGGGATTTCGATGAATCCCGATGTTGGAGTTTCACCAAAAACTTATAGAATTCTAAATAAAATATGATGAACAAGAACAAATTCTTCTAATTGATTCCGCCTCTTATTTTTCACTATTCACTTGAGTGAATCAACTAGATCTTGGTTGTAAAATGATTCCGCTACACAACGATTATTGAATAAGAAAAAAAAAATGAATCCGAAAAGAAAAAGGAATTAGATTTTTAGAAAAAAGAGGAAGAATGAGAATATTTTTGCAGAGTTTCTC